TGCATCAAGAATATTGAACTGCACTATTTACCTGTAGGTGTTCTCCAAGGTAGTATAAACAAGATTTTTAATAATTTCTGTTTCTTAAGTAGTCGTTAATGTTATATCAAGAGCGAAATTTCTCTGTTTGCTTGCAATTCTAAAATAATTAATATTTTATTTTCATATTCTAGTACAACTTCTAGATCAGCCCACTCAACTAGCTGATGTACTATGCACTTGTTTATCACATCCAATACAAGCAGTTCGTTTAGCAGCTGCATCATGTTTAAGACAGTTGGTTATTGTTGTGCCAAGCCAACGCGTCCCTTTATTAAATAGATGCTTACATTGTTTACAGCAATCTCATAGATACAGTGCTGAGACACTTTTAGGTGTTACTTTTGGTATAACTGGACTTCTAGCTGGAGTTAATTATTCTATTCTTGGTTTACCGAATAATATACCGAACGAAGTTAGTTTATTGTTATTTTATATATATGGATTTTACTTTGATTATCTGTTTTCTTTTTTTGGATAGATAGTAGACTTGTAGTTTTAAAATAATTCTTCGTGTTAAATCGATAATTTTTACTTAATCTGATAGTAGTCAAGGATGAACTTATCATACCGACTCAATGGAACTAGATTCTTTTATAATTTGGTGTATTGTCAGTAGTCTCATTTGTAAACCAAGGAAAACAATCACTTTGGTGAATTCATTTCATTTGATGAACTATTCAACGTATGAATTATTTTTATGGACGTTAAAGCACTTTCTCAATTGTAGTTTATGAGAATAATCCATTTCATCCGTATAAATAGTCATAAATACCTTATTTAATCAACTCAGCTAACCTCTCTAATAAGGATTTTGGTACAATTAAGTCGATGATAATGTAAATAATGAACATCGATGAAAAATATTGGTAAAATATTGAGGAGGAGGGGGTAACTTCGGACCGAAACAGGTACACCACAGAGATATTTTGCGAGCAATACTGTTTCAAATCCAGCAAATGACCGGTATTAATGGTGTGCATAGATACGTATGAGATAATTTGGAGGCAATAACCCTTAATTTTTAGTGAATACGTAGAAAATCTTTCAGTCAGAATCCCCTCTATCTTTCCAATGCATGTGCCACTGTAGGTACGGCTGCAACGATTATCATAGCAATATACTAATTAGAAGAGAACTCCTGATAATGTTAGAATTTATGGACATGATTTTATGGCATATTAGATGACAAAACAGTCACTTAGTAGTTGGTTTACGTAAGAGTGTATGTAATCCTATTCAAGTAAAACCCTAAGAAACAGTTTTTAGAGCAGTAATTAGTGTTTGAAATGCTTATATTAATTATTTCAATCTACTGTTTAATAGATGATTTGGTAAGCTGATTTTATTTTCGTCTTATGGTATGAAAACCAATGTGAAGTATGCTAGTGGTAATTTGATTCCAGCTGTTTAAAGAAAATTATGCAAATAAGCTCTAGAATTGTTTAAAATCATCTTCATTCAGGTGTAAAATTCACAGATGATGATGATGATGATAATGAATTGATTAGAAAGTAGAAGGTATTTCACCAATCCAAGCATTTATCGCCTAAAGTCATTGACTACTCTTTCAACTTTTTCACTAGTTCAGCTGGTATTATTTTCTTTTAATGGTAAAGTTAATTTTGTAATTGAATTCTTTCATAGGATTCATATAATTTTCATCGGTTCAATAATTCTATACTAACTTTCTTTGTATTTAGTTGTTTAGCTTAGCTGAAGAACTTCTACGTGCTGCCAACCAAAATAGCCGATTTACATTGGCTCGTACTCAAAGTGGTTGGAATTTATTAGCTGCTTGTATAACTCTTGGACCGAATGTTGTTAAACCTCATTTACCTCGGATGTTATTATTTTGGCGTAATGCATTTCCACGTAGTTTACGTGAGTTAGAAATAGAGAAACAACGTGGTGATGCTTTTACTTGGCAGGTATGTCAGTCTTCACTCCGTTTATATAATTTTTTAAATTAAGCTTAAAAGTAAATGTTACGGATACAGTAGTTTGGTTCTTCTAACAAATGAACAATGACTCAATTCATGTTGCTTACCAATCAAAAATATTATCGTAACACTACCTTGTCGTATAGCTTTCCTTCTTGGACTATAAAACCGATCATAAATCGATCTTCATGAACCTGTAATTTGATCATTTCTACTGTCTCTTTAATTTAATGTATCTAGTTAAGCGTCTTGTGAGTAGTTAATTCACTGCGAGGGTAAATTCTTCAATTCATCTTAAGTAAATCAACTATATGAATACACTTTTTTCACTCCTCCTCATCCAGATTCATATGCAAGTCTCTTAGCGTTTCTTTTCAACTCTTCTAGTAACCAAATAACTGAAGTAATTACGGATGTTTAGATGTACTGTAGAAAAACACTATCATCTCTAATGTTATAACGAAGCACGATTTTGCCATACTGTTCACATCAGATCTGACGATACTATCCGACTGTTCTAACTGAAGTAAATGAAACAAGATTCAAGAGCAGATTCATTTATCCATTAAACCATCTCTCTCCCTTACTTGTTTTGTGCATTTTCATAATTAAGCCGTCCTCATCTAAAAAATTAATCATACACTTGAGACTGCTTAATGAATGAATGAATGAATGTCTTGTACCATAGTAGTCAATTTCTTCATGCCTGTATTATTATAATAACACCTTTTGATTGAGATACATTTTCATCATAGTTAATGAAAGATCAAATTTGAATTATTTTCTTATTTCATTGAATCAATTCATTAACTATGATGAACTTAGTCAAACATTCTATTGATTTAAATTATTATTATTATTATTTTTCCAATAAGAAAAGAAAAGATATGCTGAATTAAAATTAATTGACACATTATTTCTCCTTTTTGAAAAGTCAATTTTATTTAAAATTGATTGGCATCATTTATTTATTTAAATTGTTTTTTATTTTTGCCTACTTCTTTATGGTATGTTTGTTGTTCTAGTTGCTGTACGGTTTTTTGTACATTGACTATGTTCATACATACAAAGATACACACATCCTGGAATTCATCGAATTGGCTAGTCTTTTTTTTTCATTAAAAAATTTGATTAAATAATGTTTGTTTAAATATTCATATTACTAGAAAATTGAATTGATTGACAGAAATATATATATAATTGGTGTAAACCATCGGTTACAGCAATACCTAATCAACTGGTAATATGCTTTATGTGTCAAATGATCGTTTCACATTTGTTTACTTAGATTGAGCTCATTTGAAGTATTATGCTATGATTAAATTAGGTCGCTGAAATATCTAACTGATTTGAATCAATTAAAATGTATTTTTCAGTGGAATAAACTCTTAATTCTTGCAATTATGAACCAACTCTTTTCCTCTTAGAAGAAAAGCGAAATTTGGATGATAGGATGATACCATTTAGCAAGTTGCAATATACCGATCATTCAAATAAATCATTCAGTAAAATGTAGTCTATACAATGTTCATGCTAGAATTTTCTGGCTTTATGATTACTGGATAGATCATGTAGATCATATAATTCAATTTAATTAATTTACTTTCTAAAGAAAATCATAATTCAAATAAATGTTGTTCACATCTTAGATTATGGAAATTATTCATTAGTCTAATTCTCCTATAAAATCATTGATTGCTTTCCATTCTGTATTAATAAATCCAGTTTTGTTCGAAAATAATTTTCTTTTTTAAGATAAATTTTAATGATTTATTTCTTTTTAAATGATAGAACAAAGTCATTAGATAACATCAAAATTAGACTACACACTGGAAATCGATATACAAAGTTAATTGTAGGTAATAGATTATGGGATATGATGTAAATCAATAATACCTCAGATGTTGTCATGAACTTTGATCAAGCCAGTGTTATTGTACTCATTATTGGTATTTGTAATTTTGATAGTTACGTTTTTGTCTAGCAAGTTCGAACTGACTCCTTTTTACTGTGTTAAAGTACGTGTTATATCAGTACGTCAGTTACATTCTGTCTCCTAGGTATTCTTCACTGTTTTTTTTCTACTTACGTTATTTCTTGTCTTTGAGGAATAGAGTTCAATCAACTCGACAGGTTAGACAAACGTAACGTAAAAGTTACTACCCAATGATTAATCACTGGTAAATATCTCAGTCCTACAGTAGGTCAATTACCGTCTGAATAGCTCAGTAGTCACATCTCAGACTTTAAAGCTGGTAAACATTGGGTTGAATCCTACTGAGAGAGTATCAACTATTCCTGAATTCACACTGTTACCTTACTGAAGGATGCTAACCAGCATGAAATCTAAGTTCATACAGGGTTTCTTTTCGACTAGCTCCATTCATCTAATGTTTTTACTAAATGCGTTTACTCGTTCTTTTGTCATCTCTCTCTCTCCTCCTATTTTCTCTCAATATTATAGATTATGTTGGAATCCAGATCTGGTGCATTATGTTCTATACAAAGTTTTCTAGAATATTGTTCACCACAATTACTTACTGAAGAAATAATTCATCGTCTTTTACCACTTATTGAGTGTGCATTAAATATGCTTGGACAAATGAGTGATATTGTTCGAATATATGGAAATCATTTAAAAATAATTGCAGGTTTTATTCGATTACGATTATATCGAATTTTACTGTTATTACCGCCTACAGCGTATACTAGTAAGTTAAATTAGTTATCATCAATTTATTGTTATTATAATTAATGGGGAATATTTTTTTTATTTATTTAATTGTATACTATTCTGTCATTCTTCTATTACAAACTTGAAATCCAAAACATTTTATGTTGAATTTTTTTAAAGTGAGTTCGTTAATGGCTTATTGGCTAACGATAGTATTTGCTGATTGGTTTGCTCACTATGTCACATATAAGGATCATGTAAAGAATTTTGCAATCAATTGTAGTAAAATTGCTTAAGAGTATCATTGATACAAATACACCAACACCAGTTTGTGTTTATGCGTTTTAGGCACTTTGTCACTAATCTAGGATCCTTTCCACTACTTAGTTTATTTTCCTGCAACCTATCATTTTTACCATTTTATCTTTAATTTTTTAATTTCGTATCCTAATTTATTCAGTTATGTTAAACTACTACATAAATCATTATTAATTGTAGATAGCATAAAGATACATGATTTTCATGTTACGTTGAAATCATGAATCGATCAATATTAGACCATCATTCGGAAACATGGGTGAACAGGACAGTTTATTCGTTCTAATATGCGACATATCAGCAGTGCGCATCCACAATTTCCGCATGAGGGAATCGAACCCAGAACCTTTGGTCTTGCGTTCGAACGCTTCTCCTCTAGGCCACTAAACCAATCACAGTTTTCATGTTGATTGGTAAAATGTTTGTAATAAGTTGAATTTGCAACCCTTCAAAACACTAATTCGTGAAATATTACTATATCATACGTGTTCTGTGTTATAGTAACTGACATCATTTCATGTACACTGGTACATGAATTTAAGGACTATTAAAAATGAGTACGATTGACCATGGATGACGAAATAATCCCCTTCATAAAGCCCTGTCTTACAATACCTGAGACATTCTCTAAATATTTTATCAGAGGAAATAACGCACGGAAAGGCCCATCTAGGGTTACTGCTGATCGTAAGTCTGGCTGAAGAAGAAGAGCAGAAGGAAATCTTGTCGCTGGTGAGGAAAAGTCGTTGAAGGTAGTAAATGTAAGCGGAAGAATATTTATATTAAGTTGGTGGAGGTAATTGATAGAAAACTATAGATCCACGTTTTATGTAAGTTGACACTCGTCAGCAAGGTGTACATGTAATCTTACGGGAACTGATGATCGCAGTGGGACTCAATCACACGTCAACCGGCTTAACAATCTTGGATGTCACTGTTCAGTTATTCAAGGCTCTGATGCCTGCTAATCAGCAAGTAACCTCAGTTGATTGTTCCCAACCGCAATGTTGATCCACTTACACTAGTGAGGACATATCAACTTAGTCGATAGAATTCGATCAGTACAAATAGACTAGATGAATTCAGCTTTAGTCACTACTAAGTAATCAATCAGTTTTAAGAATGTATATATCTTTCGGCATCAGTATTAGTGAAATTATTACTTTCTATTTACTTCGTTCTCCCTCTGCATTAGCATTTATACATCATTTATGGCAAACAAGCCTTAATCAACAAGGTAAAATAAAATACACGTATGCATCTGTATAAGTTGACTTTATTCTTTTATCCTGATCATTTGCATTCAATTTGTTTATTTACTGAAATATTTATTTCGTTTTATGTTTTCAACTTATCCTAATGGGTCGGTCTGTTGATTTTTCAACAGACATGTTAATGTTTATATAAATACTATTATTTGGAGTAACATGTGTTTTGTTATACAACAGTTATAAAAGCAATATATTGCATGTAAATGTGTATGTATTTATATATCACTCTCTTATGCTATGTATACATAGGGGTAAGCATGGTTTAATTAAGAAAGCATATCATTCATACTTATATATCTGCTTCTTATCACGACTGTTTATTGTTTCAAGTTATACAGCTCGGTCATTAAAGATTATATGTAGCGCTATGTTTTATTGATTGAAGTTATTTGGTCACGGACAATAAAGGTATTTTTACTGATCGTCAAATAATATTTGTAAATCATAACCTAGTAGCAAGTTGATACTCATTTGGCTGTCTAAAATGAATTCTTTATTTTATCCAAATATTACATAATATGTGCTAAATTACATCTGACTTTTCTTATTGTAGGTTTTATAACATTTAAGGTGATGCATAGTTTTTAACATTAAGATTATAATTAGTTTCGTATGTTATTTTTCGTATTATGTAGTTAATAGTGAATATTTTCATTTTTCGAAGTTGAATAACTTCATCAATGTTTATTTTGATTGGATTTTGTTAGTAATTATTTCTCAAATGCCTGTCAACTCGACACACTGATTTTCTTCATTAGCATCATTGAAAATCAGGAAGTTATTTGCAAATATAATGTAATCTATTTGGTTCGATGCATATAAACTAACCTTGAAGCCAGACTACAGTTAAAATGTTGCCATTTTGATTACTTTCGTTTACCCGATATCGATTCTGTCTTACTTTTTTAATGTTTAACAGACTAAACATATTGATATTTTAGGAGTTAATATCATATAATTTAAGCATTTCAATGGTAAATGTTTTTTTTTGAGCAACATACTGTTGGATAATCTGTTTTTTATCTATCCTCGTGTTCATTTTTCTGTGTTATAATAACAACTCATAAATAATTCACTGAAAATCTTTTTTTTTCACTGATAATGTGAATATTTTATAATATTCAAATTATAGAAAATGTTTAGTTATGACGTTATATTCATGTTCTAAATCATCAGTTACAAAGAAAATCATATTTATTCACAATTTTTATCGTGGATGATTTAAGTGTAAATCAGCATTATGCATAGATATAGATATGACATCTGAACTGTTTGTAGTTAAACGTTGAGTGACAGTTAAACCTGCTTGTTACCATTATGCTTAATAATATCACGCACTGATTTAGATGCATACATATACACAAGTTCGGAGCCACCTTTTTCTCGAATTCAATGATTCTTATTTTTAGGTTCTGTCTATCTTTCGCATAATAAATAATCCTTTTTGTTCAGTCAGTTTATTATAAGTTACTCCAATCAATGTTTATATTCTAAAGGATAATAGTATGAAATTATCATCAAAAATAAATTGGCGATTGATTAGGTTTTCTGAAAGAATTGGAATTGTTTTCATTGTTTTTTCGGAATCATTGTTCCATTAGCCTGTCTAACACATTTTTGCATTTCTATGTATAAATGTATGAATACCGACTGTCGATATATAACAACTGCGATATAAATAGTGATTATATTTTTTTTTCTGTAAATTACATCTGAACCGAATCCTTTTTTTTGACAAGATTTCAACTTGATAATGTCTTTTTTTTTAAAGAAAAATAAAGTCGTTTATTTGCAGCAAAATAATTATTACTTAAAATTTTTTATGAAATGAAAATAAAAATTATTAAAAACTAAGTCGGATAGAGCAATAAGCGGCAATTTTAAAAATAATAATAATTCAAAAATATATTTATTATTTACCTCTTAGGCTTAAAATTAAACTTCATTAAATTTTATTGTGTCCTCTTATTTTTGAAATAATATAAGTAATAAATTTCTCGACAGTATTATCAAAATTATCCTTTTAAACTAGAAGTGTTTTCTGCTTCTTTTTGATTACTGTTTCCAAGTGAAGTGTTTTATTATAAAATCGAATTGGTTTTTGTTCATATGATCATGAGATCTAAACGGTAGACAACTATTCAGAATTACCAAGAAAATCGGAATTAGGAATCCTACTGTAAGTGAGACTATCTCAGAAAAGGATGGGCTTATTATTCATTCGCACTCCAGGAGATTTGATCGATGGGCAGAACACGTTAGAGATCAGTTCAATTGGCCATCAGCCACACTTCGGTTGCCCACAATCCCCAGTCAACCTGAATGGCTAATCGATGTAAGTCCTCCGACTCCTTAGAAAGTTAAGAAAGCGATAGGAAATCTAATGCAGTTGAGAGCAGCAAGCCCTGATGGATTGACCCTTGATATTTCTAAGGATGGTGGTCCAGTTTTAGCAGTTAGATTGCCTGAGACCTTAGTTAGGATTTGGGGACTGGACATAACCCCTATCTGACTGGTCTCAATCACTGATTGTCCCAGTTTATAAAAAAAGAAAAAAGTTCCCTTTTGCGTCAAAGGCTTGAAGTGTGGCCTCTCAGGAAGATTATCCTTTGATTTGGGTGTCCGGGCATTATTCATGCCCACTCAGAAATTCAAAAATTAGTGTGGCGCATCAATATTTAGATGCTCCCTTGTACCAGTGTTTGTGTTTAAATGATTAATTATAAATAAGATGACTTATATGTGATATGTATTTATGCGTGATAGTGGGTTTGAGAAATGTGACATTTATAATGTGAAAGGATAACATTGAAATTGTATGATAATCGTGTGAGATGTGAATAGAACCAGACATGGTAGCTTTGATAGGTAATCCAAGTCGGATGAACCCTAAGACTTTCTTTTCAGTTGAGCGCAGTTAGGATTTAGCAATATATGTAAAGCTTCAGCTAATCATCGTTCTTTGTAGTTAGAAAGTCTTTTCCAACTGAAGATGTATTGACTTACACTGAGTTACAAAACACTGGAAAATTTAATTTCTTTTTACTTATTTTGAGATATTGCAAAATCAATTATTTTAATTCTCAACAATCTACTCAGTACTGAGTTTATTTAAAATTATCACGTCAACTCTTTGTACCTATTCTCTGAATGGTTCAACAACTGAAATCTGTTTAAAAATAATTTGAATAGTGTAACTATTCGACAATATCTCTTTAATGTGCATATTTATCGATTAGTTCATATATATATATATATATATATATATATATATATATATATATATATATATGTGAACAATAGTGATAATGATCTGTTTGCTGATTTTTTTTCTTATTTCTTCTCACCTCATACAAAATTTGTACTACTGATTTCTTGGCAATTGCTTGTGCGCTTACAAAACTGCTTTACATTTGTAATGATTTATTTATATATTCTAACAATTGTATATGGTAACAATCTCATACCTGTTATTATTCTTTAATGAACTTATGTAAATGTATATCACAAAACATCGGTATAATTACCATTAACTTATAAGTAAATGAAAAATTTCTTAATTAAACATAATTTATTATTTCCACTTATTTTAAGCTTATCAATGATTGCTTGATTAAGTTTCATTCTTAATGTACACTAAACTATGGAAAATCTTCACATTGTTCATTGTATACTTTTCTTTTTTTTTAATGTTCAATGTAAGAATAAGCGCATGTTAATCATTTCTATTTATACCAGAGCATCTTCAACTGAATACAAATGTCAGACTGTATATAGTAAAATTTATATGCATTTTCAAATACAAATGATAATAATCATGATTACTATTAGTGATATAGATAAGTGTTATGAAATGATCTTTCATTATTTTTTTTTTGTAGCGAAAGAGAAATTCACATTGATGTTGATTTGATGTTCATCAGTTTTTTATTTATTTTAAAATTATTTTTAACATTTTAAAAAAGAAATTGTTTAATGCATTATTTCTTTTTATAGGTTCTTATAGTACAGTTTTACGTGAATTAGTAGCTGAATTCACATTAACTGATAATATGGCAAATATAACAACATCGTTATTGAAATCATTAAGTCGTTCTGAAGACGGTGTCACACTTGGTTCATGTTTACAGGAAACAGATCAAAAATTATTAGAAGAACAAGTAAGTCAGTTAATTTGGTTATGATGTAACTCAGAATTGTAAGTTTTCCATTGATTTATGTCTTATGCTTTGTTTAAATTTATTTTATGCTAAGCACTTAACATCTTACCTCCGTAAGTTTAATCAATAGTCAGTGGTTTGGATATTTAAAATCTGCTCCCCTCCTATTTCACTACACATGGCTTTGTTAATAGATATTTTTGAGTTCTGTAGATTTGTTGACTACAATTGTATCCATTCAAATTTCTCTCACGCTACAGATTTGCATTATCTACATAAAAATGGCCCTCAGATACTCTGATATGGCTGAGAGTGGAGGAGAGTTTACTCCTCCTCACGTGGCCACGCGTGTGTAGTCACTGCCTTCTCGTACTCAGTGTTGCTCACGAAATTGAGAGGAAGAAAAGCGAATGCCCGGTGCTTAAACCAGGTTGGTGGGAATAAAGAATCCACCTGAGGGAGTTCAGGCATCCAGGCTTGGTTTATGTGTTTAAATGAACAAATCTACAGATCGTCAGTTCCAGGCGGTTTGGAAATATGTAGTCTCTAACTTTTTCTGTTCAATAATCTAATAATAGTTAAACTTGTAGTAATTAGTTGATTTTTGAATGACGGAAATAAATAAATAATGAATAGATATGAAATTATGAAACTATTACTTACAAAAATAGTTGTTGAATATTTCTTCCCATAATTTTATTACGCAACTCAATAATGATATGTTCAGAAATAAACCTATCATTATCCTACTGTTTGAAATTTTATATGTTATTGTTTTTTTGTGAGACATGAATATAAAATGCATAACATGCAACACACATCTGCATGATTGCGTTGAAAGTTTTTTCTTTCAATATTCATACCTATTAGTACTATTTTGTTTTATCAGTCATATTATTCATGTTAATAATATTCTATTCTCGAGAAAGGGTTATTGGTAAATAAAATCCTTAGCATAATGTTATATCATACATGACAATTTCTTCTTCATTTACTATTTTTTTCATGATTATTGTTACCAGTTTTGTCATTTTATCATGTAACTTGCGTGCTTGATCTTACGACAAAAAAGGAGAGAGAAATAATTTTAAATTGTTTCTATTTATCTCACAGCATTTAAATTATTCATTAGTTGTTCGTTATTGTAAAGTTTTCTGTGAATACATATTTACAGCTGAAATATCACTTTAAATGTGTAAAAATTCATTTTTCTTTTCATTTAACCATATT